AAAAGTAATATCAGATCTGGTAACTGTCAAATATATTAGTTTCCCAATTAGTCTCCTATATCGTGCAGCATCATCTAGTAGAGAGGTATCATCACGCCACAAATCAACATTTGCCTCCATTGGAGTGCTTGCAGGTTTGCATTCCAAGAGACCTGCTTCTTCTAGTAAATCTAGCACATATTTCCTTTGGGACAACAGCATGCCATGTTTTTTATATGTAACTTCAATCCCAAGAAAATACTTTGGCTTTCCCATGTCCTTAGTGACAAAATGACGGTTTAGATACTCCTTAGTCTCAGCTAAGGCAACATAGTCACTCCCAGTCAGCAGAATATCATCAACATATACGGCTAAAATAACCAAACCAGTTGTTGTGCGTCGAAGAAAGACAGAGTGATTAGACTGACAACGTTGGAAACCAACATTAGAAATAACCTTGCTGAACTTATCAAACCAAGCTCGAGGACTCTGCTTTAACCCATAGATGGCCTTTCTCAGCCTGCAGATAAGATTCTCCCCCTGAGCAACATACCCAGGAGGTTGCTCCATATAAACCTCCTCGTCCAAATCACCATAAAGGAAAGCATTCTTCACATCTAGTTGGTGCATCGCCCAATCCATATTAACAGCCAGAGAGAAAAGAATTCTGATGGAGTTGAGACGAGCAACGGGAGAAAAGGTTTCAAAATAGTCAATACCATATGTCTGGGTATATCCTTTAGCAACCAGGCGAGCTTTATATCTATCAACAGACCCATCAGGACGATATTTCAAGGTATACACCCATCTGCAGCCAACCACAGTCGCTCCAGCAGGTAGAGAGACCAAATCCCAAGTCCCTCTAGAAAGCAGTGCATTCATCTCCTCATCCATAGCCTGTTTCCAGGCGGGTACTAACAAAGCTTCCTCATGTGACCTGGGTAAAGATATAGTGGACAATGACAAAGCAAACTGACGAAATGATGAGGTGAGACGGTCATAAGAGACAAAAAGAGAGATAGGATATTTTGGGCAAGACCGTTTACCTTTACGAAGAGCAATAGGAACATCTAAGTCAGAAGAGATATGAGGCTCGACATGAGATGGACCTGCAGCTGGAGAAGAAGAGTCAGCAGGAGCAGAGACAGGTGTATGTACTTTAGGACGGCGAGAGTATGTCAGTAGAGGCTTTGGTGCAGTAGCCACAGGAGCAGATATCGGAATAGTAGTGGGAGCCGTAGAAGGTAGTGGCACCTGTGGACTGACAGAGGTAGTGGAACCAGAGGAAAAATATGGGACAGACTCAAAAAAGGTAACATCAGCAGAAACAAAATATCTCCTGGTGTTTGGATGATAGCACCTATACCCTTTTTGAGTACGTGAGTATCCAACAAACACACACTTAATGGACCTAGGAGACAATTTATCCAAACCAGCAGTCAAATCCTGAACAAAACACGTACAACCAAAAACTCGAGGAATCACAGAAAAACGTTTTTTAGCAGGATAAAGACAGTGGAATGGTATCAAACCATCAAGAACAGAGGAAGGCATGCGATTAATCAAATAACAGGCAGTGAGGACAGCATCCGACCACAAGTACTTTGGAATATTCATATGTATCATCAGTGTTCTAGCAACATCGAGAATATGTCTATGCTTCCTCTCAGCAACTCCATTTTGTTGTGAAGTGTGAGAGCATGAAGTTTGATGAATAATACCATTAAGAGCACAAAATTTTGAAACGTCATTTTTCATATATTCCAAAGCATTATCAGTACGAAGAATATGAACAGAAGTAGAGAACTGGGTTTTTATTTCATTATAAAAAAATTCAATAACATGCTGGACTTCAGACCTCTCTTTCAACAAATATAGCCAAGTCATGCGAGAGAAATCATCAACAAAAATAATGAAATATCGATAGCCCTTCACAGAGGGAACACGACAAGGACCCCAGACATCAGAATGAACTAACTCAAACGCAAAACTACTGCGTTTATCGACACGACTCTGAAAAGAAGCACGATGGTGCTTACCCAGTTCACATGACTCACAACCTAAAGAAGAAAGAGAAGACTGAACAGTAACTACTGATTTAAGTTTTTGAAGTGAAGGATGACCCAGACGCCAGTGCCATAGTAAGGTAGAATCAGGCTGTGCTGCAACAAGACCAGCACCCGGCACACTGTCGTCCAAATAGTACATACCGCCTCTCTCATGCCCCGAACCAATCGTCCTCCCAGTTGCTAGGTCCTGAAAAACACAATAAGAAGGAAAGAAGGTGACTTTACAGTTATTGTGCTTTGTAAACTTGCTAATGGATAATAAGCTAACAGGGAATTTAGGAGCATATAACACATCAGTGAGTTTCAAAGAGGAAGTAGCATGAACTACTCCAGCACCAAGAACTGGAGAAAGTGTACCATCAGCGATGCGAATAGAGGGAAACTTATCAGAAAAAAATAAAGTGTCAAAGCGATCCTTTATACCTGTCATATGGGATGAGGCTCCAGAATCTAGTACCCATGGTTCATGAGGAGAAGCTATGTAAGCATCCATACCTGAAGAGGATGCATGAGTAGCCGAATGACTGTTTTGAGAGAGCTCTAGCTGACGTAACCTCTCATAATCTGCCTGAGAGATCTGAACAGTAGGAATAGTAGTAGCTAGATTATTAGGAGTAGTAGTAGAAACAGGTGAACGAGTCGACTCGGCATCGGCCACTTGGGCCCATTGAGGACGGCCAAACTTCTCCCAGCACTTCTCAGAAATATGATTGGTCCTCCCACAGTGACTACACTGACGTGAACCCCTATCACCATGTCGCCCACTAAAGGAGCCACGTCCTCCCACAGACTCACGACCACGACCACGACCACGACCGCGGCCTCTGCCTCGACTAGAGAACATGGCAGACTGATCCACTGAATGTGGAGAAGGTGCATTAGTAGCAGAAGTAACACCAGTAGAGACCTGCATGACTCTGGAGAATGTAGCAGTCAGGGAGGGAATCGAATCGCCACCCAATATTTGTCCCCGTACCTGAGACTGTAAATTAGGGTGCAGTCCAGAAAGAAACTTGGAGACAGCCAGATCGCGGCGATACCCCAACAATGTCGCCGCATCAGCTACTGCAGGCTGATGCATTTCTAGTTCGTCTATCAGTCCCTTCAACTCACCAAAGAACTCTGGAACTGTCTTATCGCCCTGTTTGATCGCAAATAGTCTCTCATAAATCTCAAAAACACGGGAAACATTCTTCTCATTCCCGTACATAATCTTCAGGCTGTCCCACATTTCCTTTGCAGTGGTTAAAAACATAACACTGCTACTGATCTGTGCATCCAAACTGTTTCTGGAACTGTCTTATCGCCCTGTTTGATCGCAAATAGTCTCTCATAAATCTCAAAAACACGGGAAACATTCTTCTCATTCCCGTACATAATCTTCAGGCTGTCCCACATTTCCTTTGCAGTGGTTAAAAACATAACACTGCTACTGATCTGTGCATCCAAACTGTTGAGAAGCCAAGTCATAACACAGTAATCAGAGGAGAGCCATGAGTTGTAGGTGGGATCAGATGGTGGTGGTGGAGATGCCAGAAGATAAGGCAGTTTGCTCTGAGCGCCAATGAAGATCCGGAAAGCTTGTGCCGAGAGCAGATAGTTAGTACCATTCAACTTAATTGTAGTCCCCAAGACTACTTTTGGCGCAGAGGTTTCTCGACCGCCGAAGCGGTTTGGGCAGAATCTGGGTTTCAGACCCGTTTCGTTTGGGAGTTGTATAAATACCCAAACTTGTTTCTAGGGTTTGGAAAAGCAAGGGGTTTTGAGCATATTGATAGGGTTTTCTTTGGGCTTCTATTCTAGGAGCAATTGGTGAGATCAAGAGATGATTTGTTAAGGGTTTATGAGAGATTTGTAACCCTAGTTGTATCCCCTTGATTTTTAATAGTGAAAACTCCCCCCTCCTTGCCCCGTGGACGTAGGCATCTCGCCGAACCACGTTAAAACTGGTGTTATTGTATTTGTGCTATTGTTTGGTGTGTTTGTTCATCTCTCTCGGCTATTTGGTTGGATCTCGGCATAGGGGTTTCTCCCCAACATCCTATAATTTCTTTTTCATCACTCTGTCCACCTAAGCTTTGATGGTAACTAATAATTTTATTAGTAAAGTGCAAATAATAGTGGTGTTCAAGTCCAATTTTCAGAATAGGAAAAAAATGTTTTTGTCATGTATGATCTATCTTAACTTAATTCCTGTATGTAGAAATAGATAAAACCCTAATCCATCTTTATTGAGATCATAAGAGAGATATATATAGCCATACAATAGGGTTAAGGTTAATGGGTAACGTTCTATTAACCCAATACCCAATACTTAACCTACTACTTAATTTAACACTCCCCCTCAAGCTGGAGCATATATATCTATCATGCCCAGCTTGTCACATATAGTAGAGAACACCTTTGAAGATGTAGCCTTGGTAAGAATATCAGCAAGTTGTTGTGAGGACGGAGTGAATATGAGAGATACTATCTTCTTCTCCCAAGCATCTCTGACAAAATTGCAGTCAACTTCAATATGTTTTGTCCTCTCATGAAATACAGGATTCTGTGCAATGTAAATGGCAGATTGGTTGTCACAATGCATAGGCATGGGTCCAGGTTGAACAAAACCAAGTTTTGTCATAAACTTTCGTAACAACACCATCTCACAAGCAGTGTGAGCTATTGCTCTATATCCGGCCTCTGCACTAGACCATGATACTACATCTTGTTTCTTGCTTCTCCAAGTGACAAGATTACCTCCAATAAAAGTACAGAAACCTGAGGTTGACTTTCGGTCTCCCATATCTCCTGCATAGCCAGCATCAGAGAAAGCAGAAATGCGAGTATGCCCATGCTTCTTATATAGCAATCGGGCGGTTAGGGTTTTGGGAGATAAGGGCGGCGGCTAGGGTTTGGGAGGGAACCTTTCTCTGATACCATGTAGAAATAGATAAAACCCTAATCCATCTTTATTGAGATCATAAGAGAGATATATATAGCCATACAATAGGGTTAAGGTTAATGGGTAACGTTCTATTAACCCAATACCCAATACTTAACCTACTACTTAATTTAACACTGTAAATGATGGTTATCCATGAAGGTTCATATTAGCTTGAGGTATAAAAGATCCTATCGATTTAGTTACAAAAGTATGTACCTTGGCCTGGAAGTGTCTCAAGGTCAACACAATAATATCCCGTAATCTGCAAAATTTTATCACATGGTATCAGATATACACGCAAAGGCCAGAGGATATAAAGGAAAGAAAAATAATACAACACATTGCCAACATTGCCGCTTATTAGAATACATTCGGTAACTTTATTTTGGCAAGTGGGGTATACTGTATTAATTTGTAGAAGGGAAAACCGATTGACCAACTACCTTCCAATTTAGTCATATGAAATGTGAAAATTCAACTTTAGCTAAATTTGTCAACATCAGCAATGAGTAAGATTGAGATAAACTATGAATAGCCAGCATTCTACAATGTACTAATTTATGCATTAAGTAACATAAATACATGGTTGGATAAGGCTTTTTCCTCTATGGTGTAGGATAAATGAAATCTAGCAAACTTTAAGGATTCTTCCTCTGTGGTGTAGAATATTTGAAATGTAACAAATTTTATTTGTGAGAGTTTTTAAGTATATAGGTTAAGACAAAATGTTGATAGCAAATTTTATGTCCTGACATATAACTCTAGGTTAAATATGTTCCCACTCTGCATTTATGCATGCTCAACCCCTACGATTTTTTTTAAATAATTGAATTTTTATTTTTTGGGTACATTAAATGACACAAATCAACATCAAGGAAGTAGGTAATATAAATAAATACCCTAAATTGAATTCCAATGTGAAGGACTAAAGTTGCCAAAGGACCCACATTTCTCAATCTATACTTATTTCCTAACATCAAATTCTAGTGGGAAGCATTTAGATTCGAATCCCTCCCAAAGGCCCAAGTCTATTTCTACCTTTATCTACCTCTATCTATATATCTACCTTCTGTTTGTAACACACCCACACCACATGCCCACATCCACATATGCGCGCGTGCATTTACGTACATATATATTTACATAGGTATGCATGCATATGCATGTATCTGTGCATAGGTATATGAAGATTTTCCTAAGAGAGTTAGTTCTAAAAAAAGCTTTTTTTAAGGAACCACAGTGATGCATACTCTGGACGATACAACATCATTCATCTTCATCTATTACTTATATGAATCTAAAACTAAGAGATGAGTGATCTTCAAGACAGACGCACGCACGTATTATTATACATATATATTTACACAGGGCATGCATACATGTATATGTGCATATGTATATGAATATTTTCCTAAGAGAGCTAGGTCTAAAAATAAGCTTTTATAAGGATTCCATAGTGCATCCTCTGCATGATCAACATCATTCATCTCCATCTATTACTGATATCACTCATGCATCTAATTAAGGTCAAACTTGATGTAGCTAAAAGGACATGTTTTTCCAAAAGTAAAACACAAGTTTTAGACACCACTTGATATCTCATTCTTTGACTAATTTGATACTGTCGTTTAAGACAAATAATGCAGATTATCGAAAAGATAAGTCATCATGGAGTTCTCAATAAGCTTATTGGACCCATTCTCCAAGTAAGATTTCTCCTACACGTTTGCAATGTAAGTTCTGTCGCCCCCACCAGAAAAGAAAGGACAAAACCTTCAAATTTTAAAAAGAAATCAAGAAAGAGGTTTTGCATATAAACATATAAACCCCCCAAATCCTTCATATTTGCAAATTTACCACTTAAATCTTGATGTTTGTAAATTTCCTCCCTAATTCTCCAACATTGTAATTTTCCACCCCCCTGACACTTAACACCCCCACACATAACAGTGTTAAGTTTCTAACAGTGGATTTTGCCCCCCGCCCTCTCCTCTTTCAAGTTAACTTTTTGAGAGCAACATCTACGCTCATCTCTTGGATCCATCATTTTCTTCTATGCCCATACATGAGGGCTTCAACTTTTATTTTATAGCCTCTTGATCTGCAATGCTCTCAATAAATAAAAGGCATTGTTGCTGTCCTCTCGTTTAAACACCTTGTGATGTCTTAGTTAGCAGCCTCGCTCCATTCCAAGCTCGCGTCCTGATGTAGGATACTTAACAGACAATTTTATGGAGGATTCGGACAATCACGAGCTAGATACAGATTTATAAGTATTGGCTTCCGCAAAGAAACAATCATATCTCCTAACTTGGAAGACGGATCCTGAAATATTATATATCTAAATCACCTATCTCGATGAGACGGAGTCAACTAGATTGTCAGATTTTTAAAATCTCATCAGTAATACCCAGTTTTAGCTGAATCCGAAAAATAATCAGTTATTAGTTTATTTTAAGTAATAAAGTTGGAGTCTACTTAGATTAGGAAATAACTTCAACATTAGAGTCAAATTAGATAAGGAAACAAATTCAATTTTAATTCATGATTTGTTTCCTCTATTATAGGGAATATTTTTACGATAGAATTTGATACTTTCTATTTCTTTGTAATTCTAGTCTTACTAGGAGTTCTATTTATTTTCTATTTAAAAAGAGTCATGTAACCCCAAAGAATATTAATATTTTTTATCAATAAAATTCTTTTTTAATATTTTCTTCGTGGATTCGAAATTCTTCATGGATTCAAAGATCGTTCTTTGTGGATTCAGAGAACAACCATTGGTGGATTCCGAGATTTTTACTTCCGCGCTGCGTTAATTGGTACCAGAGACTTATTTTTCTGATCCGATAGCAGGCGACGAAGTCCCTATTTCTCGAACTAAGTTCGATGAGTTAAAGACCGATGTTAATCAAATTAAAACTACCATAGATCAACTTGCGTCGGCAATGGAACGTCTGAACACGGTAGGAGTTCAAAATCGCGTTGATGGTCGCCAACGACGTGATGTGACTCTACAGGACGAATTTAACATTAGCGATGACTATGAAGCCATGCTGCGGTTATGATCGCACAGACTGCTGACAACAAGGCAATTATAGCGCTAGAATATTAAAGTTATCATCGTTCAATGAAAAGCTTCATGTTGATGATTTTTCTGATTGAATTAATGAAGTGGATAAGTATTTTGAATATGAGATAATCCCAGAAGATTGAAAAGTTAAATTAGTAGTTTACAGATTTAAAGGAAAAGCATCTGTATAATGGGATGAAGTATTGATAAATCGATACCATCAAGGGAAGGATCCTGTTTGAACATGGGTAAAGATGAAGAAATTATTGAGAGACCGTTTCTTACCTTCTAACTACAAACAATATCAGATGCCTTTTAAAGATTCTTTTATCTTAGTCGACACGGTCAGTCTAGCGAAGAAGGTGGAGCGATAACTTGAGCAGAATGACAAAGATCTTTCATCATAGATGTTTTTAGAGAATTATCAAATTAGTTAAAGAACCTCAATTCATCTCTGAGAAGGAGTCTGGATTTGTGAAGAGCACCGAAGAAGCAACAACAAAAACTTCATCAATTATGTCAATCATAGAATCATAAGGCATTTACAACAGAGATTACTAAGGAGAAGGTTATTCTAGTGGGAGACAACGAGATACTCACCACCGAAAAGGAAGATTCTGCCACCATCAAGATTTATTCTGAGGTTCCTGACGTTGATAGTGATATGTTAATAAAGACGGATATTCTGTATGATATCGTGAGTGATGTACAAATAATAATATTGTCCCGATAGCGTAGAAGGATAAATTAGAGAGTGAGACAATTGATGATATGTGTGAGTTATTTGGTGGAGGGCTCGAGGCAAATGAGATGAAAGAATTGTGTATGGACTATGAGGAAGAATTTTCTTCTCTGGAAGCAAAAATTGTGAATAATTTTAAGAAGATTTTGATGATACTTTCAGCACTGGAATATGAAAAGCAACATAGAACCTATTTTGATGAGTTTTTCAAGTCAGCTGCAGATCTACATGCTACTAGTCATGTAAACATGGTGTGTGAAAGATTTCTTCAAAATTTTGATTCAGAAGAAGCCCTAGCCGAAGAGGTTAGACAACAGATGGAGAAAATCACTAAGTATAAAGCAGATGCTGATCGTTGCAAAAGAAGAAATTTATTTATCAATGAAGCTAGTATTCTAACAAATATAAGCTCAGGGTCGAGCTTCTTTCAACAAGGGGAGACTGATGTAGGACGCTTAACGGACAATTTCATGAAGGCTTCGGACAATCAAAAGCTAAATATAGATATATACGTATTATTGACTTTCGCAAATAAACAATCATATCTTCTAACCTGAAAGGCAGATTCTGACATATTATATATGTAAAGTAAATCGCCTATCTCGACGAAACGGAACCAACCAGATTATCAGATTTAAAATCTCATCAGTAATACCTAGTTTTGACTGAAATCTGAAAATAATCAGCTGTTAGTTTATTTTTAGTAATAAAGTTGGAGTCTATTTAGATTAGAAAATAAATTCAATATTAGAGTCAAATAAAGTTGGAGTCTATTTAGATTAGAAAATAAATTCAATATTAGAGTCAAATTAGATTAGGAAACAAATTCAATTTTGATTCATGATTATAAATTCAATATTAGAGTCAAATTAGATTAGGAAACAAATTCAATTTTGATTCATGATTTGTTTCCTCTTTTTACGATAAAATTAGATATTTTCTATTTCTTTATAATTCTAGTCTTACTAGTTACTTATTTTTTTATTTAAGAAGAGTCGTGTAACCCTAAAGAACATTAATATCTTTTTATCAATAAAATTCCTCTTTAATATTTTCTTCATGGATTCTAAGTTCTTCGTAGATTCGGAGAACGTTCTTTGTGGATTCCGAGGTTTTTACTTCTGCGCTGCGTTACTTTCGTCTCCTTGCCATTGTTGCCTTTGCAATTGCACATAGCGATCACAATGCTCAATTCCTTTCGACATTCGCTTTAGGTTTTTGTGGAGCTCAAGCTTAAGGAACAATGGCGCTAGAGGTATCATACGTTGATGAATTTTTAACAAATTACAAATCAACAAGCAACTTATGTTTGTTATCAAAAGAACTACCAATGCTTCAAATAGCAAAAAGGAAAAGATCAAAATTTCGAGAGGGTATTAAACCCTAGTGACAACTGAGTTCATCCTTGTCATTTGTTTACCAAGGGATTTTATTTGCACAATGTCAAATATTTCAACAAGAGATGAGGAACAAGTAGAGGGTATTAAGGAGAGTAACAGTGACGAGGGGGAGGGCAATGGGTTAAACCAGTTGGGTTATAAGGATGGAGAGGAGATATTGGTTTTTTGTAATTAGAAACATAGGAAAAAATAAATAAGAAAAGGTATATTAGTCAAAATTAATAACTTTTCAGCAATCTAACAGAATTTCAGGCTATATATAAGGTGTGTTCCTTAACACAACAAGTGTGGGTAGAAAAGTCCAATGTTGGAAAATGGGAGTAAATTTGCAAAAATCAATATTTGGGGGTAAATTTGCAAATATAGAAGATTTGAGGAGAATATATGCAAAAATCCCATTAAGAAATTAAGCTAAAAACAGAAACATGGAATTCTAGTTCAGTGTCAAACTTAATGCCCCACAAAGCTGTTGCTATGTTAGTATGGCAAACTGGTCCTGATGGTATTTTTTATGCGTACTAGTTTAGTCATGGCTTAGGTCTGGCTTTGTTCTATGAAGCGTCCATATGCCAATACAGCTTCAACTTGCTTACTACACTATCTTTTTTGTTCTTAAGAATATGGCTACAATCCGAGAGTCAGGGCAGTCAACAGTGTGCAGCATGTGTGGGCATGGATAATGGAGTCACTTTGAAGTGTCCATGCTAAATACTCTGTAGATTTCTCATTGTGAAAATATTTATTTAATAATATATAATTTGGAAAAGGAAAAGAAAGACATCAGTACCTCACTCACTCTTCCTAATTAAAAAAATGAAAAGCATAAGTGTATTCTTAAAGAAATTTCCATGAGATGTCTAACCGAATATCATCTGTGTTGTATGCTTGCACTGTTCTGCTTGTGCTGAACGGTAGAATCGATCCGTCGGAGCACATTAACACAAATTGGGTTGACTGTCCATTTGGAACTTTGACCTGTGCATGTAAAAGTTAGCCATTTACTTGATCTGCCATGATAAAAATCTTCAGTTACAATAAGAGAAGAATGCCAAAAATATAACGAGCAGGAAAACATACATAGAAGTCAGGTGAATATTTTTCCTCCATTATCACTTGGTCCGTACTGTTGACTCTAATTTGATAGCCAGTTTGTTTCAGAATAAGAAGCGCCTGCTCCCATGACTCTGAAGAATCCATCTGATAGAGAAACCATGTTTAACTAGTCTTGAGAGGCAGGATGTCAAAAAAAATTAAGATCTTATGTAGGCATGAAAAGAAACATGAATAATCATTTAGTGCAATCAATTTAGTTTTTGGATAAAATTGATAAATTTAGAGAAAAGGAAGCAGCCTATTTGTCACTTCATGGCTCTGAAAAGATCTAAAGTAGTGTGCCTGGGGACAATGTGATGGTTCCAAAAATAAAGCAATTGCATTAAATTGGAGGTATGTTAATGAAGAAGCTATATGAGAACTAGAGAAAAAATTGAATAATTTCTTCTACCATAGACTTGCATGAAAAGCCACTAAGTTCATAATTTGTAATATAGTCATAGACAATCTTATGGGACATAATTATGATGAAGTATCTGCTTTCAATCTGCATCTTTTGAGAACTCCAAATACAAATTCACAATCCATGGAAATATGAGTTAGGTCCACACGCCTGTCCTGGGTCAACACTCATCAGCAATATGAAACACTGTTCTCAAAATATGACAGGATTATGTCTCAAGATTACACACATAGAATAAAATAAGGAGCTCCTCATAGACAAGGTAATAGGTAAAATATGAACGAACCGACTCAACTATACCCTTTGACCTCATGAATGTGGCTCAACTGCTAAAGGATTAGTCAGGGAAAAAACTCATGCACATGAGATGTTTCTATCCACTATGGCAACCAAAGAAGCATGTTTTAACATTCATACTGTCTACATGAAGCATATGCCACAGACCTAGTTAGCACATAGAGCACCAGTATTACTTCTCATTATGTAAGCATAAGAAAACCTCATTACTATTATTAATGTGAACATTAACATGATATAGCTTGTAGTTAGAGCCAAAAAATGAAGATTCTGTCAGGTGCTATTCAAGTTACCTTGTTAATGCACATATCAAAATCATAACGGGGAAGGACAAAAAAAAAGAAGGTTGAACACCACCTACCAACAAGAAAACTGTAAATACTGCTCTCCCTGCAGAAATAAAAGTGCCAATCTCGTGCTGCACGTCAGGATCTGTAAAAATGCTAGGTAATTAGATGGTCATGCCCAGTATACCCAAACAACCACATTTACATCAGAAATATGATTACTAAGTTCAAACAAAAAAACTACAATGATTTCCTGTCCAGCTCAAGATAATTTGCAGTCAACTTACAGGCTTCATCTTATAGTCCAACAAACAGCCACCCACCTCCACCCATCCGCCCACCCACACAGAGTTTACGTTCTTCTTTATTACGGTTGCCTCTTCACTTAATATGAAGTATATGTGTATACATAAAGTATAGTCAGGTCCTGGAATAAAATGTTTTCAAGTTTCTATTAGTTTTTCCTTAACAGACTTACTCAACGTTTCTGGTGTCTAAGACCTCCGAACAATAGGATGCTTGAAACCTTTCCCACAAGTAAAACAAGTTAAAGATAGTTTTGTGCATGGAAACTTATACAAAGATAGAGGAAAAGAAGACAGAAGCCCTAATTTGATTGGAGAACATATCTCTACTATGAAAACAAGTAAGAAGATTAGACTGCAGTTTTTTTTTTCTAATTATTCGGAAACATGGTAATTGAAAGAAAGCAAGAGCTTCTAATGAAACAGAAAAGAAAAAAATTCAAGCACACGAATGAAAATTAAATCACCAAATAGAGGTCTTCAGATTTTCAAATTAGACAAAAAGAGTTTTTACAGCTACAAAATCTTACCACATGTTATTTTGTTCTGATTGTTGGCAAAAAGACGAACCAGTTCCCCCTACAGTAAGAAAATAACTAGATTAAAATTTGTATATCTTGATAATAATTAAAAAAAACTAGAACCCTGAAATCACCCAAACAATATCACATCAAGATAGTAAGGTAATTGTAAACTGAATACAGAAAGCAAAATACAATCACATAATAACAGCTCCCTGGGGAATAGGGGAAGCATTAGAGCTGTAATCGTAGAGAGAGAGATAATCGCAAAAGATCTAGCTGATCAATTTAGTGCAAGTGATACTTTGGATCTGGTAAACCAGATCTTGACTATAATATTGAATACCTAACTATCATTTTCCATGAATTTTAACTGGCGTATTGAATTAGTGTGGTTCAAAATATTTGTTTCCTTGGTCTATGCTGGAAATCGGTACTTATACTTCAGAGAGAAAAAATCAATATAAATACTTGAATAAGGATATCAAATGGCATCATAAAACTAATGCTTCGTAGGATATGTTCCTAAATGTGCAACAAGCAAAAGGATGGGGACAAGTAGATATTTATAAAAGAGCGTTTCTATAAAATTTCTCTAAGATTGAAGAAGGAAAAGCATTATGACATAACAAACCATATACTAGTAGATGCAATATCAGAAATCTTGTCAACTATTTGCAGAAGGTAGTACATAATATTTATGATTGTCTTGATTACCAGGAGATATTTGCATGAGACCAACTTTGACATAACCATAGAATGGCTCATCATGTTATGGATCAATTTCGGCACAAAGCGTAAGTGTCCCTGAGCATTTGTTCCAGGTGACGGACTGACGGGAAACACATCATGCTCATATGAGGTCAGCAATTGTCAGGTCATGTTCTGTCAATTTATATGACTATTCACTGACTTCTAGGACAATCATAAAACTAGAAACTAAGACTATGCTTATTTAGATCAATGAGATGGCTGATTCTGAACTCACCTCGTACCTCAAGCTACTATGTAGCAATAGAGGTTCTCATCTGCATCCTAAGAGTAAACATAGGCTTCCATGGCTCTCTGCACCAGCAGCTGTATTACCTTAGCTTTCAACCGCACCTCATATGTACCGCTATTGCCACACTATATAGTTCCTTCCACTCATATAATTCACTTCCATTAGCCCCGGTGCCCACTTGCTCACCCACCATTGCTCGTCCCTTCCACTCATGAATCAGAATTTCCATCACCTCTATGTTCATTCCAGATCACTAACTGGGTGAGGCTTTTTCCTCTCAGCATCCAAACCATTTCCCAATAAGACGAGAAATCCAGATTGTAAGCTTTCATGAGTTAGACTAGGGGAGATTCTAGGCCAGCTTAGATGGTTATCAGCGCATTCGAATATATCTGGATTTGACTTCAACAGTAGCATAACATTTCATATTGCAGCAGAACTTCTGTAGATGGACTCATGGAGCACACAATGTGCTGGAGATAGCAACTAACGAAAATGTGTATGCATAAATCAGGCTTAGAAACACTAAAAGGTGCAACCTCTACTTTACACTACAAATATGTATGGTGCAGTGCATGCATAAATAGAAGCATAAGCAAAGTATAATAGGACTATTAAAGCAGACTATTAAAGCATAAATGAAGAACATGCAAGAATTGATCTAAGGAATAATTCCAAAAAGAATTGATATAGCTCCTGAAGCAACCTGACGACCACTGTCATCCATTGGTGTGCAGTCCACAGCAAGAAAGGTGTCAACATCATCGGCAGTTACGACGTAATCTGGCACCGTGGCTCCTGGATTGAATAAAGAATTTCCAAGAAAATGAACAATAGTTTTCTTAGAAAAACAAATTCAGTACCTTAAAATAACTATCTCATAAAACACTTACAACTTACCTTCTATTGACTGCCTGGTTCCATTTTCAAAGTGACGAACCCACTAAAAATTGATGTATTAGTGTTATTAGTATATGGAGTACAACATAATCCACATGAAGAAAGGACGGCTAAAGAACACACATTAAAAGAACAGAAAATAATAATAACTTAATAAGTCAAATACCTGGAAGATGCAAAGGGATGTTCCATTTGTGGGAAAGCCACATGCTCTCAGAGTATTTCCTGGTTTAGCATCACCAATGATTTGAAATCCCTCAATACCGGGTAAAGATACCTCACCTGTTAAAAAAAGTACTGCTTATCAGTTGATATGAGATTTTTTTTTCTTGGACAGTAAGTACCAACGATCATCTTTTAGGACAAGGTAATGAGACATCTATTCACATTAGTTTTTGCCTTACATTACCTTCTGAACCAGGAGATGTTTGTCCTTCATGTGGTGTGGGGATATAAAACTGGGGTTCAGCTGCTTCTCTTCTGTTTACGGCATCAGAGTTGCTATCCTCTCGGAAATTAGGAACAGCATTACCTCCAGGTCCCCTGAGATGGAATGGCTTATAAGTGTCACGGAAAGAAACTAATCCACTCTAGAAAATCAACAGATCTCATCATTCCGGTACCATGAGAGGAATCGTAGATATCCATTGGGGTATCTGACCCTTAACATAACTGAAGAGAGAGATTCACAATATAACTAGCCACAAGAGATTTACAGTAAAATCTAAGTTGTTGCTGCTGCTGCATTACTCCACTAACCAACAGAAGCAAATCTTTATACTTGTGCCCTTTAACATCCAATTGATGGAACAAAGGAAAATTCAGGATGACAAGTAGCTTACTCATTCGAATTATTGCAAGTACACATGAGTTATACTTCTCATTGGTCATGATGCCTCACAGTTTTAAGATAACAGATACTAATATGTCATTCTCAGAACACGTGGGGATCATGATAGAACATTCTGGCCCATTATTAAAAATCGGTGATAAAATATGAAACAAATTTAATTAGATAACAATCATCGCATTATGACCTGTATTTCATACTCGACTTACCTTACATGATCGTCCACTGCATTTTACAAATTGTCAAATAAGCCTTACAGTAAGAAAACAAAATATGGAGAGTGAAATGCTTTCTCTCCTTCATTTATGGATTGAATAATGTGCCAGTTAGAAGAGAGAGCACATCAGAGATGACAGTACACAGAATGAACTTTCTTTTTATGACAAATGGAGAAAAAAATACCCATACTATTAAGCAATAAAATAATACATGATAAGGGGATTACAGAGGCCGCAAGGCCAAGAATCAGAGTACAGAAAGGTAGTCGGAGCACTCACAGAAGTGATTGTCGTGGTACAGCCTGTATTTCCATAAGGCAATGCGATTATCCATGATCCACTAAAGAGAAGTAGTTCAGGTCTTTCCATCCAGCTAACCATAAAATATCCAATACATGTTGGTCCTAGAAATTTGGCTTGCTTAAGAGTCGCTACACTCCAAATTCCCCAAAGTTCTGGAGTGGATGAGGTCAGGGAGATAACAGAATGACTGGCATATGTGCGAATCCAAGGCCTAACATGGGGAAGGGAGGTTCAAGGAACAGATGGTTGGCAGATGGAGGAGAAATATACTCTGCATAGATGCCCACTCCTCTCACACAGAGATTGCTTCCTATTGAAAGTTTGTCGAGGACTGCAAACTACATTTGTAGATTGATTGTGTGCAGCGGATGCCTTGCGGATCATATGGTGCACAAGACACAAGGCAAACGATTCCCCAAGAAACCTTTAGGGTGAGCTTTTGGTGAACTGGCCACTTTTATCAACTTCCCGAAGACAATGTTCTAGGCCACTAGAATTGAGAAGATTAAGGTGGGACGTGATTTTGCAGCACCCAAAGAAGTAAGCTCTCAAGGAGTTCCATTGCTAGATTGACTAAAGCTGAGTGATCCTTGAGAATAGCAAAAGGTGTGGGGATTTCAACTTCAGGATAAACTGACAGCCAAGAAAACCATTCAATGTAGCCATTGCAAGCCATAACATAGTTGAGAATATGTGGTGGCTGACAGTAAGATGCCTCTCCAGGAAGGTGAAGAGGCAAACACTGATGCATTTAGATAGGTGCCTTTGCCTATAACTAGTGCAAAATACGGATTGTACAGGACATAAAGGAGACACTTAAAAAGGGCATGGCAATTTTTAATTGAACACTGGACTTGAACTTAGTTAAATGGAGAAAAAGGATAGCGTCGCTAGCTCCAAACTTTGGAGGCAAAGGCTTTTCATGTTACAGATATTGGTGTTTGCCGCGAAACCCTATCTTTGTTGTCACTGGTGGGGGTGCCCTACAATAGACACAACAATCTTTCACAAAATATAGGTAAGTTTCTCCCGTTTCATGTGATAATTGCAGCTTGTAGCTTACCAGTGCATACTAATGCCTCGTGCACTAAAAATTTGCATGTTTTTCAAACCATTTATGATTCTCATACCATTTATGAAGATAGGCACGGAGAATAAGATGAGAAAGGTTAATAAGTGAGACAAGAATGTCTAAAAAAATTACAAATCAAAGATGAATCTGTGATGAAATATTCAAGAGATTGGCTGCATATACTGCTTCAGAAATATAACAGCACTTTTCATCGTTGATGTCCTAACTACATTCATCAAAGCAACACATTAATAGTGGTTATCACGTTCAAGGATTTATAAAAGTGATCTGCAGAACATAATCAGCAAGATTTATAAGCCGAGAAGCTTCACTGGATAGAGCAGCAAGGAGAGTGGTAATGACAAGATAGTGATTCGACTTTAGATGCATAGGACTTGAGAGGGAAATCCACAACATCATCCTGGATCAACATTTCAATAGTTTGACGACATAGCCAGTGGTCAGTTTGATTTCTGCCAATTGGTTCTACAAACTCCTAAAGCAACCCTCTTCTCCCATTCCCGAAACCACCCCATGAGCCCCAAAATGTTTTGAAGACACAAAGGAACCCAGCTTCCAAAAGCCGTACACAAACATGGCAAGGTTTAAATAAATCCAGGCAGTTGTGTGCCTCCTTTATCATCAATAGCTTATATTAAAAGCGCCAAAGCAACTAAAAATTGTCTCAATGTATAGTCAATAGTACATCCTGTTGATAATTAAAAAAAAAAGACAGTTCTAATCAACTCAAAGAATTAATGTCGGCTATCAATATACAGAATTAACTGATTAAAGCAGAAGTACTAACCTATAGGTGTTTGAAGGAAACTCCCTATACTGCAAATCAGGGTTTGTACCAGCTTTTACTCCCTTCATATCCATCATGTCATAGTTTCCGGTAAGTCTTGATTGATCAGGTGCCGACTCTACATGGAGATTGACTGGATGATGATTGTATTGGTGTAAATTTCTCATTCCTGAATCCTACGGATAGAACATCAATATGTTAAATTCTCTTTTTTATGCAGAGAATGACCGTAATGATGTTATAGTAGATTATGCAGATATTACCAGGTGAGGTTGCGATAGTTGAATTTGCGAAAATTTTGGAGGCTGTCGATCAATATTTGCTATTAAATCACCGGGCTGATTTCCTAATAGGCGCTGCCCCTGATCCAAACTAGCCTGCAGAGACATGCAAATTGTTAAATTCTACTGAATGCCACAGAGGCTCCTCTCAAAGAGCTGTGTTCTACTTTTTCTCCTAACTAAAAAATTCATAATCTTATCCCTCAGCACTAGCCTTCTCTGCTCTACATAACCACTGTATAGTTCAGTAAAAAATTTTAATTATGTTTGCTTACTAGCTCTTTGGATCACTTTCATCAGTAATAAGTGTTTTGATCTGGAGAATTGAGTTATAATCAACACTGCTCTAGACTGAATATCATTACCATCCCCTGATTTTGTCTTTATGATAAATGTTAATTTTTTAATGACATTAATGGTAACTATGTTATAACTTATAAATAGGATATTCTCTTCCTAGACTATTGGAGAAGAGAGAGCGCAAGCCAAAGACCTAAATCATATCAACACATTCTATTAACAAAACAAGGCATCTTTGTTGCAAAACCTAGATGCAGACTCAGAAGAAATTTACTAAGGTGGTCATAATACTAATAGTCACGGTGTGTGGCAACCTAAAACAGAGATCTGTGTCAGTAGTTCATGAATGGTAAATAAAGTGAGGACAGTAGACTTACATCGAAAGATCTGATTTTCCAATCCAAATTCTGATATAGACGCTGAAAATGCAAATAAGATTACGTCATTTTCTTTCTAGAAGTGTTTGACAAACGTCATTGTTGCCAAATGAAATAGCATGCCAACAAACAAGTTATACATTCTATGAAATCCATGGATAAAGATGCTCAAACCTTACAACTAGAATATGAAATATTTAAAGATTTAGCAAAAGAAACTTAGGTCGTTCACTAACTGAATAAGTAGATATTAAAATATGAAAAGAATAACAAAATTATCGACAGTTTATAATTGAATTGAAGCAGACAAATGACTTCCAGTAAGATAACCTGAGAGAATAACAGTATCACTTTATACATAGACAGTTAACAGGAACTGGGTGCTGATATAACCTCAGAGACTAACAGTATCACTTTATACATAGATAGTTAACAGGAACTGGGTGCTGATAAAGCACTTGAAGCAGACAAATGACTTCCAGTAAGATAACCTGAATAAGTAGATATTAAAATATGAAAAGAATAACAAAATTATCGACAGTTTATAATTGAATTGAAGCAGACAAATGACTTCCAGTAAGATAACCTGAGAGAATAACAGTATCACTTTATACATAGATAGTTAACAGGAACTGGGTGCTGATATAACCTCAGAGACTAACAGTATCACTTTATACATAGATAGTTAACAGGAACTGGGTGCTGATAAAGCACTTGCTAATGATAGCAGAGATCATGGATTCAAGCCTTTTATTAACACACTTGAAATAATTCTTCTTCCTAAGGGAGAAGGTGGGAATTATTCACCTTACTTTTACCATCTATAGGTTACAATAACACGGCACCAAACGACTCATTGCCTCACACCATCGTTTCTTCCACCATGTTTTTCCCCTTATACACACCACATTTAAGTAGTTGCATATGTAACATATTAATTTTAATATCTTTACAGATCTCTATCCTACATATAAAACTTCTATTGTACCTTCTATCTTACTTTCAAACAGAAGCCCTCTCGGCATTAGGTTTTTAATATTTACTCGCAAATATAACATGTACAGATTAATATAACCAAGTATTCTTGACCATATTCACCTATGGTTTTGCATATTTAAATTCAAGTAACAAACTCAATTTCAAAAATTCAGTCACCCAATTCAAATGCTTCATTTTTTTCATAAACCACTAAAGGGTCAACAATTTAACTATGCTGAAAGAGCAAACCTTTCTCCAACAAACTGGCCTGTAATTATTATTACTTGTGATTTACATAAATTGGGTATTTTACAAAGTTATCATATGAAATACACAGAATTTTGAAAATATATCACCCCACATGAGATGCAACAAGCTAAAACTCTCTCAAACTTTGAGGCCAACTACTGAATTCTTCTGACTATTTGCCTATGTTAACTGCATGATATCAGCAATGATCACATCTGTCTTATGCGGCCCCACTACATGTCCACAGCTCTAGGAAAATCATAAGCTATTGGTGAACAACAATTTCCTCCAATAATACCCTTATTGGTCTCTAGTGCACATGGAAAATTAACGCAGCGCGGAAGTAAAACCTCGGAATCCACCAAGGGTGTTCTCTGAATCCACTAACAACGAACTCCGAATCCATGAAGAAATATTAAAAGAGAAATTTTATTAATGAAAAGATATTACTCTTTAGGGTTACATGATTCGTCTTAAATAGAAAAATAAACAAGACTCCTAGTAAGACTAGAATTACAAAAAAATAAAAATTATCAAATTCTACCCTAAAAAAACTCCCTATAATAGAGGAAACAAATCATGAATCAAAATTGAATTTGTTTCCTAATCTAATTTGACTCTAATATTGAATTTATTTTCTAATCTAAATAGACTCCAACTTTATTACTAAAAATAAACTAAAAGCTGATTTTTTCGGATTTCAACCAAAACTGGATATTACTGATGAGATTTTAAAAATCTGACAATCTAGTTGGCTCCATCTCGTCGAGATAGACGATTTACATATATAATATGTCAGAATCCGCCTTCTGGGTTGAAAGATATGATTGTTTCTTTGCAGAAGTCAATCATACGTATAAATCTGTATTTAGCTTATGATTGTCCGAATCCTCTATGAAATTGTCTGTTAAGCGTCCTACATCAAAAATACTTTGTAGAGAAAGTATCAATTGAGACAGAGCAATTAAGGGAATTCAGCCACTGCCTCTTCAGTAAGAAAATTAACACTTAAATACTAGAATATGTTGTGTTTAAAAAGACAGTGAAAAAACTGCAAAGGAGACAATTTAAACAGAGTTGCAATTTTCTGAACTTTTTAATTTATACTCTCAAGATGAATTGCAGAAGTGTGAGGTTTAACATAAAATATGAAATTCCGAAACAACCTGAAAACCTTCGTCTCCTTTCTAATGGAACTGACATGAGCCAAAAAGAAATATTAAAGATAACATAATCCTCGGACAAACTAATAAAAGTGTATAATTTTCAGTATACAAACAGATCTTGCCTTTGTACTACTAGTAATTGCCGAGGCATTCAACAAAGGGAGGCGAATATTATATTCGGCTAATAAGCTCAGCAATGAAGAAGTGAAAACATATGCCTCCTCCTCTGCAACCTGAAGATCAATGATAAAATAAACTGGTAAGACACTAAAAAGTTAGGCATATAACCATATAACCCACTGTCAAAAAGTTTCACACTGTCTAAAAGTTTCATGCAACTCAAAGAATACATACACCTTTCATAAAATAAAACAAAGAGCAGAAGAGCAACAACAGGGTTTTTCTACAGCTTGCAAAATAAGAATATTGAAGCATGGCTCTCCCTGTAATGTACCAGAAAATAATGAAACTACATGTTTTGTCTCTACAGCTTTCAGATAAGGGTTACAGTTGCCACAAGATATAACTACTGAATGGCTCTTCCTGTAATGTACCAGGAAATAATGAAACTACATGTTTTGTTTATACGAGGTTGGATATCAGACAAGATTTTAAAATCGGATATGAGGGAAATATCGGATGGCCAAAATTCATGTCAAATTGCGGATATCAGGGAAATATGGGGGACATACGGTAAATATTGAAATGCAATCATAGATGTTTGCATGTACAATATAATGCACTAAAAATATAATCTCAACATACTTAATGAAATCTAAGCATACAAAATGTAAACAATATGTGTTTTGGATCAGTGATCAATCTCCTCAAATAAACAAGAGTACAATCAACGTTGCAACATTTTGTCTGGTTTTTTAGGCCAAAATATCATTTGATATAAGGGGAAAATCATGTTTTCTCACCCACAAATTGCTAAATGATGTACAATTGTTTTGCGGCAAACCATATAATAGGATATATCGGCCAACATATGGACTGATATATCAGCTATATCGAGGATGTATTGCCCAAAATAAGCAAAAAGAGCCGAAAGATGTTTAGAGACCATATCGGTTGTGGCAAGCCTTGTAAAAGGATATATCAGGCGATATATTGGGCACATAAGGGATATTTAAAACAATTAGATGAACAATTGCACAACACAAAGATGGGATCCATATCAAGAAGATCTTAGAAATTACAAGTTATAAGAGCAGAATCAGAAAAGAAGGCCAATCAAGACAAGGACAAGCCAAGTTGAGAATAAATAATCACATTGCATCCATGTCAGAGTGGGTTTATAGCTATGTTTCATGGGTACGGGTATCGTTATGGGTACAAGACACGGCACATTTGTAAAATATAGGGTATAGGATTCGACTATATAAATATTTATAAACGCATATAAAGTATATATTGGAATTAATAATTTAAATGAGAACAAGGATTAAAATTAAAATTTCTATAGCATTTTTTATGTTTTTTTTTTGAACTAAACATCCAAATGACCCTTCAAAATCATACTTCGGGGAACCTGATTATGTTAAACGAATTTCAGGAAGTGGATGTGAAGTAAAGGACATATGTTCAGAAAATGGATGGCAATGGTTTTAAATTAAAACATGTATTATATAATTGAGTGCATGCCCGAATAAATGTTTGCATGTATGCAAGGAGTGTCCAAGGAGTTTTGAGTATGGGTATGGGTACGGCTTCAGACTAGAAGTACCCAAGTAACATAGGTTTACAGTCTTACCACATTCTTCAACCAAGTACCAGAATCTTGATCGCATATTAATATCTGTAAGGCCAGGTAGAGACAAAAAATTCAAATTGTTAATGGATCATAAGGAATCCACTTTGCAGGGAGTTACTTCCACCATTCTGCACAGAATGAGTTGCAGAGAACTTTTCCCAATTTTTCGGTTGGCAGACGGCAATATAGATGGTTTTGATGTTTGTTTTGTGAGCATGAGTCTCATTACCAAATGCCTTGCAAATTTATTTATCGAATGAAAATGAGGGGGTTGTAACTTTTGGCTTTTGTAGAGTAAAATTGTTAAGCCTTAAATATGACCACTCCAGATGCCACACATATCAAATACTCGTCATGCAAAAAAAAGAAGTATGAAAACTCACAAAAAAAGGAAACCGTTTCTGATTTTTCATTTTAAAAAAGTCAATGGTTTTAGTAATATTTTATAGTTTTGATTCATGGATATGCACTTTATTTATGATCCACTGATTATACATATATAGAAAACATGAATATGCACTTTATTTATGATCCACGGATATAGATATACAGAAAACAGCACACTTCAAAATGTCATAGATACATGCAAGCTTCTCCATAGGTACAGACAACAAAATAGTACCTAGAATGTAAACGAACAGAAGACAGGTAGGTATTGTATATATTATTTTTGTTAGATGGTCCACTAGGTTTTGTTAGAAGATTTCCGTACTCAAAGCCAAATAACCTCTTGTCATATCATACATCAGAAAAGATCAATTATTTAAATAGTCTCCAGGAAATATAAGAAAAATGATTAGAAAAAATACTATAAGAATCTATTTCATAATTCAATATGATCTCAAACATATAAGCTTGCTAAGCCTACATGAGCAGAATGACTTGTTACTTTGAAGATTGATCAACTTATGCTTTCCTAGAGACCTGAGAACCACATGCTTCACCATCTGGCATTTACTAAAGCATTTTTCAAAATTAAACATTGTATTAAAGAAATGTTGGAGATGTGGTGCCACTGACAGTTTAAGCAAATGATCACAGACAATATATAATCGTAGGATTTCTTTTGTGCCATTTCATTTTTAATCTAATACAGCAATCACAGGGTGTTTTCATGATTCAGTTCTTAAAAACATATAAGGAGGTATATATCTGGATTATCCCAAGGTACAGATAACCAAAATTCTGCATCTGGATTGTTCATCACCTAGTCTCCACATAACTTAAATGCAAGAAATCCCTAAACTAGTTTTTTTATTGTACATATTTTGTATACATGCCCAGCAGGGGAGAAAAATGCTGTCAGATGATAATAACAATTTTGTATCCAGACATGTTATAGTATCAATGTTGGTGGCTGGGGTCTGTTTTCAGATCCCATCTTTCTTCTTTTAAAAAAAAACAGAGAGAGAGATCCCTAAACTTTGTTTTCATGAGATAGATGTTTTTTATGGAAAATCTAATTTCAACCAGGTAGTGTTATTGAAAATTTTGGATCATGCTGACAATGAACGCATGGTGGGCTGTAACTGCGAAGAATAGATTAAAGATATGCATATGAAATCCTAAGTCATATGTAAAGGCTGTATTTTGCTAATGTTTGTTGTCAAAATACCATACTTGTAAATCATGAGCCAGCCTCATGTTTTTTTGGATACACACTTTTCTGTGGCTGAGGTCCTTCAAAACATCCTCTATGGCATCTTCCTGTTTTTCATCGAGTGCCTGTTTCCCAAAGAATATAAAAACACACATCACTTCAGAAGGAACACAAGGAATATTATCAAAATACATGAAGATATATTCTTGATAAAGCACACAAAACCATTCGTAAATCAGATAGCCGCCTCTCTAACACATGTTTTTCCTTCAAAAGCTGTAGCTCCTAGAATTAATAACAAAAAAAGAAGTTGAAGACCAATATTCTCCAATTATATGTATAAGTGGAAAATTCTGAGTTCATGTCAAATCCATACTTGTTCACATGCATCAGCAATTTGTTTACGAAGCATCATAATTTCCTCTTCTTGTAACCGTGACCTCGTTTGAAGTTCCTGTCCAATAACTTGAAGAGACAAATTAACAACCCCAAACAAGAACAGTATCCAAAAAAGGGTTAATTGCACGTCCAATAACTTGAAGAGACAAATTAACAACCCCAAACAAGAACAGTATCCAAAAAAGGGTTAATTGCACTTAACACCCTAAAGCTCAAATTAACAACCCCAAACAAGAACAGTATCCAAAAAAGGGTTAATTGCACTTAACACCCTAAAGCTCCGTCGATTTTCAAATTCAATGCCCTGAAGTTTTACCCTGAACCACAGTTCATAATTCTGACCCATTAAATTAATCAATTTCTTCGCTTTCCGAACCATAAATGACTGAAATTTGGTGTAAGAGAAGTTACCAAAGTTAAAGAGTGTTAAAAAAAATCAAACATTAGGATATTAATATTGCAACTACCTTAAAAAACCAAATTTTTCAATAACCATTACCGTGAGCTCTGGATCCATCGCCAAATTATTCTCTTCAATTCTGTCTTTTCTATCAGATTCCCTTTGCAAATGATGCCTACCAAACAATAAACACTTCAATCGAACAAATAAAACACAGAACCTCAACAATTAGCGGTAAACAAGGCCTAATTCGAGTCTGACCTGATCGATGAATCCGAGCTAGGGTTCCAAAATCCAGCATCGCCGTTTCCGACCGTGAATACAGTCCCCGGTTGCATCGCCGCCGTCGCCGGAGGCGCAAATTCGCCGGGGGAGTGGCGGCTCGATTGGACGAGATTCGGTTGAGTATCAAAAGGATCGCGCATTTTCGAGTAAACACAAGGTTTCTTGAAATGGGAAGATAGAATTTTGATTCTGATGATGAAATTGGAGAGAAGGGAGAGCGATGCTTCGTGGTTTCGTTCTGTAGCAAGAAGTCGTTGGATGACCCCTATAGATATTTGCTAATTATGATCAGAGATTAATGGATATCATTGTCATACGAGAAATTTTCTTCTTTGTCGTTTGTCACGATCCCCACCATCCTCATAAAGTAAACACAAATCTCCACCGTCTCACACTTTTTCTCCTACTTTATAAGGATGGTGAGGATTGTGTCACATAGACGTCGATGAGAAAATCTCCTCCTATGATAATGATACACATTAATCTCTTATGATTAAGATGATAATGTTTCGCTATTATCGAGGGTCTGATCTTAATCTTTCAGCAGTTAATCGCTGTTGGTTTGTTCATAATAGAAGTTTGCCAGCTGCACAGAGCCGCCCCTTACGTGTAAGATGTCAGTGTATTAAGTATCACCATGTACGTAAATTAAATTACAATCACAAATATTTCCTAACGAAGTGTTCTATATTATTATTATTTTTTAGCGTTTTGCCCTGGAAACCAACTTTAAAATATGATCATTTTATAAAAACATTTTTTATTTTTAATTTATATGTAAACTGTGTTTAAAGTAGATTTTTATTTCAGTCAACCGTCTTCTAATTAAATTTTATCTAAAACCCCAAAAATACCCTTTAAACTCGCATTCAAAACATAATTCTCACTTTGTATATTTAGGTCTAGTTAAGATATAAGTCACGTATTTTAAGTGTACTACATTGGATGCACGTGCATTGCACGTAGTTAAATATCATTATCTTTTTTTTTTCTTTTTTTTTACTTAACTCGGTTGTGAAATATGTTTTTTAATTTCACGTAAAAAAGTAAAATAATATAATTTATTGTCTATATACTATATAGTTAATTAATATTATTAAAATTATCATTAACAAAGTCAAAATTACACGGTCAATTAAGTACGATTTATAACAAATAGTACGTGAATATCAATAGTCTTTTATGAAAAAAAAATTATACAAATAATTTCATTCTCATCGCAATCCTATGTTTTTGTCTTATAATATGCACGAATTCACGGTATTTTATACCCTTTACAATTTTAATAGTTAATTTCTACTTTAATGTTATATCCCATGAGACAAATTGACTCCTAAGGAAATATCATATAATTTCATTCTCATCACAATCCTATGTTTTTGTCTTATAATATGCACGAATTCACGGTATTTTATACCCTTTACAATTTTAATAGTTAATTTCTACTTTAATGTTATATCCCATGAGACAAATTGACTCCTAAGGAAATATCATATACCAATTACTAGGATTTTAAATGTGAGAATTTTTCCAAGGTAATATTATTATACTCTATATGTTTTGGATTGTCAAAGCAAGTTACGAAAAAGGCTAATTAATATTTTTTTTATGCTAGTATGTATTATTTTCTTGGTAGAGTAACATGTTATTTTTTAAGACATAAAATTGCTTTATAACTAACTTTGACTATTTCACACAACTAGATATATGCTCATGTCTATAAATTATATTAATTTTATTAATGAGTATGAGATTCCTATTTATTAGAAGATCATTCTCCATTTCATTCGATTACTCTTGTAATTCAGAACTTTTTTAGCTCAATTGCCTCAATTACACCTTCTATTAGGACTCATCTCTATTTCTTAATACCTAGTGGCTAGTGTTATTATGATAGGATATAGTTATTCTAATTCAAGTATGTCAAAATAATTGCAAGTGGTGAAGACCGTAAATTTTTTGAAATGATATATATTGAATATCTCATAATAAAATACCAAAAAACTTAAACAACACATATTGAGTAGTTTTACTCACGTAATTATTTTTAATTAACATACCTAATAAACATCTCAAGGACTCGCAATTGGTGAAGACCCTAAGTATTTTAAAATGTTATTTATTGAACATCTCCTGATCAAAACATCAGAAGAACTTTAAAAATTGCTAAAACTATAATTTATACAACTTTTTGAGTGTCTATAAATTATAATATTATAAATGTAAAATATTTAAAATGGAATACATTAAATTAGAATCTAGTTTCAAACTAGGAGCCCTTATTTGAATAATTTTATATACATAATTCCTTTTATTTATTATACGTATTGAACATTTTAAAAGTCTAAATATCTAAGTTTTCACTTTTCAAACTACTTTTTCAGTCATAAAAAAAAAATAACCTCTTCCACTAGGTTGGTTGCTTATAGTAAAATGTTACATTTTTCCTTTTTGATATAGTAAATTATTAAGCAAATGATATATCCCATGTTGAGTGCAGATAACTATGGGAATAAAGTAAAATATTTTAAAGGCTAAATATCAACAAAAAATAAACCCCGTTAACTTTGGATGATAATCAGATAATCCTCCATAACTTTAAAAATATCATAAAATCCACTAAATTTTAGGGGTTATCAAAAAACCTCTTTAAGTTTGAGATTCTATGAGGAAACCACTCTAAAGCGATAATTTTTGTGGAATTTTCTAATGAAATCTCAAAGTTGAGAGGCTTTTCTAATAAGATCTAAAAGTTAAAAAGGGTAACTTATAATCACTACTTAAAAGGATTTTATAATGTTATATCTAAAAAATAATGGATTAATTTTAGTAAAACGTCCTCAGCTATTTTAAAATGAGGAAACCCCCTCAAGTTTAAGCATATTGTAGATAAACCCCTTCAACTATGAAACTTTGAGATAATCCCTTGAACTTTTCTTACCTAACCCCCTCAAATATAGAGATTCTATATGAAAACCCCCTCAACTATTTTAATTTGAGATATCCCCTCAGATTTTAGCTTAATATAGATAATCCCACTCAATTTTAAAAATTCAAAAAATCACCATGAACTCTTCTCACTCTACGCCTTGAAAAGCTAATATTGTTACCCTAATAACCGTATAAGTTTACTTTTTCCACTTAACCTGAAATATTTCTTGGCAAAAAAATCCCAAACATCGGAGGTTTACAATTTGAAGATTTTTTTAGAGGTTTTTCATAATTATTGGAATTTTTAAGAAGTTGATTATAATTTTCAGATTTTTAGGAGATTTACTTCTAACTCTATATTTTTTTGAAGGTTGTTTGTACTTTTATATTTTTTTGTTTTTTTAGTAATTTTCTCGATGGTTCTTTGCAATTTTCTAATTTAAATGGTTTGTTTATGATTTTTCAGATTTTTAAGGGGTTGTTTACAATTTAAATTTTTTTAGAACGCTATTTGTCATATTTAATTTTTACAAGATTTTTTTGTTATTTTCATGTATTTTTTTTTTTAATTTTGAATTTTTACGGGTTTGTTTTTTTATTTTAAATTTTTAAAGAAGGTTGTTTGTACTTTTTAGATTTTGCATAGGTTGTTTATAACTTAAGATTTTTTTTATGGATCATTTATAATTTTAGAATGATGAGAGTATTTTTCACATTTTTATACTTTCTAAGGGTGGTTTTTTTTGGAATTTCATGAAAACCTCAAAATTAAAATAAAAATAAATCTCACTAAATCCCCAATAATTTTACTATTTGTATCTAAATCTTAAATATCTTTAAAATTCTCACTAAATGTCCAATAATTTTTTGTAAAAAATCCTTAAAATTAACATCATTAATTCATGTATAGTCAAATACCCAAAGTACACCACAATCCTAATAAGATTTTTGTTTTTTCACTTAAGCCCCGACAAATTTTCACTTAAATGCAAAACTTCAAAAAAAAATTTGGGTGTTTTCTGAAATTGTCTAACTTATTAAGGATTTAATGAGAATTGCAGATATTTTTGGAGTTCAATGCTCAGTTTAAAGTTATGATTCACTAAAATTTACTTTTTAAAATAATTAAGGAGGGACAATGCAATTTTTAGATTATTTTAAATTGTGGATAGTTAGAGCTTGTTTAGAATTAACAAAATTATGATTATCAAAATTTTTTCTACTTTTTATGAATATGAATTTCTGGTAATGGATATGAATAGTTTTAATCTAATAAGAATTCTTAGAAAAATAGAATTAGTTGGACACATGTCATCTTTTAATAGGATAGAAAATTAGTTCCACTATTTGATCTTTTTTAATATCAATTTTTGATTGAAGATTTTATTTTTAGATTATTTCAATATATTAGGATAAAAATAAAATGTAATATCTAAAAGGATTAAGGGTAAAATTGACCATAGAAAATTTTTCTCAAACTCGCTCTTTTATAGGGAGTATGATATGATATATATGATATGATTTTTAAGGCTATCTTCATTTTTTTAGTAAAGATTTGATTAGAAAGTGGTTAATTATAATAAAAATTAACTTTAAAGATGTTCTACGTATAAATTAAGAATAAATGGGATTTCTTTAAAATGATCTTATTTTTAAAGTGGTTTCCAAGGAGGAAATCCTATTTTTTAAAAGAAAAATTATAGAGAAGCTATAATAAAAATGTCCAAAATTTATCAAATGTAATGAAAAATAGATTAGCTTAGAAACGTCTATGATTATAAATTAAAACAAAGAACGATTGTAAATTATTGCAAAAAAGATAAAATCATACTCAACACTAGAAGTATTCGGTTCAGTTTGAAATAGGTAGTACTCATACGTGATACTATTAAATATTCACATGTCTCTTAAACAAAAATAGAACTGTTAAGGTTAATTATTACTACTGCTGCAAAAAGAGTTACATAGTTTAAGGGTGCAGCGATTTTGTTCCCCTTCGCAAACAATTTTTTTTTATTTTAAACAGTTCTTTTAGCTAGACAAAATAATGTTACTATGCAAACGAGAAAATAAATTATCCCATTAACCTATTGCCTTCAGACTCTACTTGTCTCTAAACTATTTAATTTGTCATTTCTTATCCCTTTAAAACCCCCTTAACACCTTCAAATTTAGTGTCTAGTTCACCGTACTTCATCTTTGTGCGTGTTTTAAATAACTTTATGAAAGAAAAGTAATAGTTTAGAGAGCAAAATGAGACCAAAAACAATTCAAGAATAACTTCAGAATTTTGAGGAGCAGACCGAAGCGTAAATATTATACATTTT